TGCTTTTTGGGGCTTTGAATCAAGAGCAGCCTTGAACTTGGGCTGTCATAGAGCATACCAGCATTTCTGTAACTCCAGCTATTGAGTACTCTTCGCCCCCACAGGAACTGGAGAGGCCATCTGGTGTGGCGCTGTACACAACATGTTATTTTGGGCCTTTACTTCAACCGGGTCCCTCACAGTTGGAGAACTGATGATAAAAAAAAGCAGTTTTCTCATGGTCTGGTTGTTTTTCATCATACCTAAGATCATAAGTGGAGAAGTCAAGGGAATGCAACAGTTTGGAGAGCTAGTACTGCCATTTAGGGAGCTACTTTTATGTCCTTTTCAGTGAGTCAGGTCAGAATTTTCTGGCTGTCTCTCCACCTACTACAAATCCCTAAGACTCTAGCAAAGCCTTTTCACTGGCAAACACTTCCTTTGTTTAATTATAGACACAGGACATGATAGTTAGACTTGAGTTTGGTGTATCAGAATTATTCCACAACAGCCTGAAAACATGATATTTTAAATTATCCTTTGAGATGGAGACAGAGTTAGGGCAGGAACTCTGATAATTTAGAATTTAAAACATTCTTAGATTTCTCTCTTTTCTGTCATTTCAACCAAACTTTCACTTCTCACTTCCAACTTTCTACCTTCCTCCTGAAAGGACTGGTTGTGGTAATGGATGCCATATGACAGTGCACCATCCAGGGCTAGGGAACTCACTCCCCCAGTTGCTGAGAGTGTTGGTGGCGACAATTGTCACATGATCCTCTCTGCAGTAATTAGCCTCATTCAAAGTCATGCTGCTTTTTGAAGGTGGACATTCCAATAATCACAGTCTTCTACTAGTTTCCGGAACTGGAGACCTGGCCCAGGTCCAGCTTAGAGTGTATTAAAATCATGAATGTGCTTAGTGGTCATTTCCTTGGACCCCAAATGTATAATTCCCATTGACCTTTTGGTAGTGGCAGAACATATTAGTGCTTTGGCCTTTAGGGCAAGAACTATAACGAGAACATCCAAGAGTAATGTGTAAGTGCAGCAGGCATGGCCTAAAGACATGTTGACCAGGAGCTCAGACTTCTCGGTAATGAAGGTCTGATTCACTCAACTACTACTTTACTGACAGAGGGGATGACAGAGGAAGTAGGGAATCTAGAATGGGTGTAGAGAAAGGAATGGTATTCATCTGTGGCATTGAGACCAACTGCAGTAGTAGGGCTAAAGTTTGTCCTACTCACCGTTTTCTATCATTTTTTTCTAGAAAGAGACCAAACAGAATCCTGAAAGAGCTAGATCCAGAAATTATTATATGACAAGTGGATCTGAATGTCACAAACAATGGACTGGGGTGGACGCTGCAATATATCACTCAGACCTCTTTTTCACGTCTGAGCTGGCATCACCCAAGCTGTTGGAAATGTTGGTGGTTGATTGCTCATAGCTGAGTCAACACCTTAGGAATGCCCTTCAGTTCAAGAGTGCTGCCTTGTCTGAAGTCACGTACAGCTGTCTCAGGCAGCTAGTTTCTAAAGTCTGGTCAATGATGGAAGAGATACAGGTCAAATCCTCTTGCTTTAGGGAAAATAACTCTGAAGTATGGCTTAACTTAATATGTGTGTTAGTACATGTAAAACATGTAGGAAAGTTTTAGGCACATAGTAAATGCTATGAAAATATCACCTATTATTATTGTTACAACTAAATTTCACATACTTTAAATAAATCTTAGTTAAATTGTTTCATGCATGTCTCCCCAGATAGCAAGGTTCTTCACTGTTTTCCAATTTTTTCATGTCCTGGCAAACCACTGGTTCTTAATGAATGCTTTCAGTGCATGTATGTATTAAGTAAATGTGGGAATAAATGCACCCAGCCTCAACAGGACTGAGAAGCAGGTATAACGACCAATTGTACATAATGCTGGAAGAAAGAGATCAAATACACCTGACTACTTTCACATACTGCATGACAATTTACTTTGTTTCTCAGGGTAGATATTGTACTGTAACTGGTTTTTCAGGAGCATACTAGGTTAAGAAAAACAAAGTGAGTGCACAAAAGTCAGTTCAGTGTTGACTATATATCTACAGGAATTTTTGACTTCTGGGAAGAATTGATTCACAGGAGGTGTCTAACCATGATTCTCAGAATGGATAATATATTTCTTCAGCTCTTCAAGAAGAACCATATTTATTCATTGTGATTGACCAAAGGACAGGAAAATAACAACAATGCACAGCAGGAATTCTAAAATTAGTTCTCTTGACTCTCTGACATACTTTTACAACATACATTTAATTTTTTTTTTTTTGACTACCAGGTGCCTAATTTTAGTATCCAGAGGTCTATTTTAGGTTAATAAGGGCCCTTTCGTCAACATAGAGGGTAAAACATGGAGGGTTTGGGACTGGGGTGGAGAAGAGAACTCAGTGCATCAACATCAAGCTCTTCTTCCAAGCAAATACCTGAAGGCAGGCAGTGGGGACCTGCATGATACAACCCAACTTTAAGACTTTTTGGTTTGGCAAACAAATAACTTTATGACATAAACATAATAAAGACTCTGTAGCTGAAGCCACTGGCTTCTCCTTAATTTATTGGTTTCTTTCTGAACTGGACAGATCACATGAGGCCTTTTGGGGAGACAGGATCCACTGGTAACTATTTCCTTTGCTCAGTCAGTTCTAAATACTTCCTTCTCTTGTGAAGAAGTGTTGATCAAAAGGGTATTCATCTTCTGCTTGCAAGTTTCCACCTCAGACTATTTCCAGGGAACTCCACCTAAATCAGTTATTAAAAAAGAAATGATGCCAGGTATAAGATCTGTGGCTGTTAATTTTATGATAGCTTCTATAAGTTCTCTTGTTAGGGATTCTGGGTGATGATTTTACTGTCTACATTAAACAAGCAACAGAAAAACCTAAATACCTGAAGTTTACTGATACCACCTTTTCCCTCTTCCTTATATCCAGCCCCAAAGCCGGTTCATTTTTCCTTGTAATGACTCTTGAACAGATTGTTATTATATTTAATATAAATTGTCTTTTCTCTAACTTAGAGTCTTCTACCTAGGCCATTTCAACTGTTTGGTGTCCCCCCAGATTTCATATGTTTAAGTATTTAACTTCAGTACCTCAGCATGTAACTGTGTTTGGAGACAGGGTCTTTAAAGAGATAATGAAGTGAAAATGAGGTCATTGGGGTCAGCCCTAATCCAATATGGCTGGTGTCCTTATAAGAAGAGATTTGGACACATACAGTGCAGAGGGAAGACAGTGTGAAGATCCGGGGAGAAGACAGCCATCACAGGCCAAGGAGGGAGATCTCAGAAGAAATCAATCCTGCCAACACTTGATCTCACACTTCTAGCACACCAGAGCTATGAGGAAATTAATTCCTGTTGTTTAGACCATTCAATCTGTGGTATTGTACTTTGGTAAGGCAGCCTGAGCAGACTAATATAATATATCAAAGTAACAGGTTCTTTTGCCAATCAGGTTTATTTTTAGTTTTTGATTTTAATAATGTTGAAAGAAAACCTAACTTAATTATCTGCACATTGTTTACTTAAAAGAATTTTGGTGGTAGATATTTATGTGATTTTGGCAAATATCTTGAAAGTAGTTCAAAGATTGATTACTACTTGATATTGTTATAATCAAATCTCTCGATTCCCATCTGCTTATAGATAGCAAGAATGTTTTCTTAGTTTACATCTATAGAAACAAAAAATAGGAAATAATTCTTAATCTTCTAATTCTAGCAAAAAACAATATTTATCTATAAATTAACTAATTTAAGAGTCATCTCACTAAGGGATAGTATTATAATGTGTTTAATAGTTTTAGAGATTTTGGAAACATGTTTAATGTTGCTTTGATCATTGTGCACTATTATTTGTAAAGCTAATTCAAAAAATTAACATAGCCTTATGATCACAGAAAATTTTTTAAAATTTTAATTTATAATCTTATATTTATTGTAGAGAAGAAATATTAATAAAAAACTGTCAAGCTTAAAATAGGTAATGTAAAGGTAAAATTCAGTGTAAACTTAGGGTTTAAGAAGATACAGAAAAAAAGAAAAAATAACACTGATAAATTTATTCTGTTGAAGACCCTATTTCAGTGTTTCCTAATAAATTTTGATGTTAAATTACTATTCTATTTACATTCCATTAAAAACATTTAACAAGGTGAGGTAATCATTTTATTTAAAAAGACCAGTTAACACCATTTGCAACTTTTTATAATTAGGGTGGAAATTTTGGATGGCAGCTTATAATTATGGCAGAGGATGTAGTCTTATAAAATTCCCCTAGATATACAACAAACAAAACAGTTTGAAAACATGGTTTAGGTTTGATAACTATACATGGAATTGTAGGTTCATAAAATATGCTTATTTTCAACTTTACAAAATAATACCAGACTGAATTCACATATATCAGCATGTTTCAATGAATTTTTTTCCATATCTTCACATTCTTTTTTTTGACCAATGTGGATGTGAATACATTAGCATCTTATTGTGCTTTTAGTTTGCATTTCTCTAATTACTAGTTAGATTGAGCATCTTTTCATGTGTTTATCACCCATATGAGACTCCTTTACTGTGGAGTGCCTACTCAAAGCTTCTGTCCATATTTTTTGAGTTGAGTTTTTTTTTAAATTGCTTTGAAGGAATTCTTAACATATTCTGGTTATTAACTCTTTTTTGAGTTATAAGTGTAGAGGATACTTCCTTCCAGTTCATGACTTGTATTTTTATTCTTTTCATAGTGTTATGTGAAAATAGAAGTTTCAGCCATCTCTTTGGCATTTTATTTAAGAACTCTCCTTACATCAAAAGCCTAAATATTCTCTTCTAGAAGTTTCCTTTTCACATTTAACACTTTCATCAACCTGGAAATGATTTTTATGCTTGATATATATGTATCGAATTTCATTTTTTTTTTACCACAAAGGTTAATCATTATTATAGCACCAATTATTGAAAATGCCATCTTTTACCCATTTATCTAAAGGTCTAACTGCTGTAAGTCAACTTCCATATATGTATAGATATGTGTCTGGGGTCTCTATTAGTTTGTAGACTAACTTGCCTCTTCCTGTGTGGCAGAAAGAGTTCATCAAGCTCATTTCCTTATAGGTACAACTTTCAACCACATTTCCCAGGCCCTCTTGTAACTGGATGGGGCCATATGACTGAGTTCTACAATATATGGGATGTAGACAGAAGTCATGTCCATCACTTTCCCACCTGGCCTCCAAGTTACCCATGAGATCCTTCAGTCTCTCTCCTTGTGTATGTGGCAGATAAAGAGGAAGCAGTGGAGATTTGTGAGTCCAAAATCAATGCCAGAGTCTAGGTTGGAGTCAGGGATTTTTAATATCTGTATGATACTCCTCCCAGCTCATTACCATATATCCTTCTCTCATATGCCACCAACATTCCTGGGACTCTTGTTTTCATTATCACTTGTTTAAATCCATATAGATCCTTGAAAACTGAATGTAATAGACCTAAGATTTTTATACTTGTACATCCTTTCACTATGCAAATGAAAGAACTGTCTATAGTGTAACATGAAGCTGACCCCAATTAAGATATACATCATTGGAGAAACAGACTCAGGAAGTCGAATCCATTACTATAAAATGCTTTCTATTGATCAGAGGAAAATAAGACATCTTGTTATTTTAGGAGGCTGTCATGTACTGTAGTCAACATAGTTAACAGGTTACTCCTTATTGAGATAGCTATGGCACAGATCACATTTTTTGGGGGGGGGGGAAGGTACATGAAACAGTAACTAGGCCAATTGCATAAGATAAGCATGAAAAGCTGCCAGGATTGAAATGCATGTCTTTTAAATATTTGGACTTATTATTCTAAGCACAGCTCTGCTCCATTGAATAGGAAATATTGTCAATACTGTAGTTTCTTCCTTTTTCCTATCTGATAAAACATTAATAATCGTTCTTTGAACTTAGGGGCAAACGTTTCTGACATTGTTTTCGCAGACTTTTGGGTCTCTTTTGGCAATAGTCTCTGTGCTGCTTTGCACCTTTCAAGGCAGCGTGGGGAACACAGTCCCTCCAGGTGGTTTCATACCCTGGTTCTGTTGCATAACTCAATGACTTTGGGAAGGTTATTTAATCTCTCTGTGTCTGGTCATTTATCTATGAAATTCAGATGACAGTAGTTCCATTTCATAGGGCTCTTGTGAAGAATGGGAGAATTTATGTGAAGCACCGAGAACAGTGCTCAACAGTTAGCAAGTCTTAGTGTGTGAAGCGAGAGAAATCTGAGCTATGACCAAGAATTTAAGATAGGTAAAAAAAGATTAAATATTCAGTTTGATAAATAACAGCGAAATTAGAAAGATGTGTTGTTCAAATAGAATATTCTGATAAAAATAAATATGTATACTGCTCTCATAATTTAATATATTTGTATTTGGTCATTAGAAAAACTATAGAAAAAGCCTTTTTACCTAATGAGGTTTTTTTTAAAGGTGGTTGCCAAAGGAGCTCAAATGATTGTCTTTCTAAAAATGTATTTTTGTATTTGAAAAATTATGAAGCAAAGCACTCAAAAGGGAAAGATGTTTTGTCATCAGCCTCAAATATTGTCCAATATATTTTAGGGTGATCATTGAATAAACACAGAAAAGATAAAGAGGACAAAAGAATTAAAAATATATGATGCTTTATTGTCAAAAATAGACAAACTTTCATTTCCTTTAACAGAAATATTAAGTCTCCATAAGCCATCATTACCACTTGGTGAGCATAAAAGACAAAAGAGTCAAGGACAACTGTTAGAGGAAAAGGAACAACAGCAGTTCTACATCCATGCCAGGGAAGCCCGGCCCACAGAATCACAGGGGCCTTCAGAGCCCTAACTAATAATAGACATGCAAAACAGGGTTGACTTACAGGGCCCAGTCCTAGAGATGGCTTTATGATTTAAATAGTGACGTTTTAGGTCACTTAAGGGATTAGTAACAGGATCTACCTGCGTTTGAGTTGCACTAGGATGAAGCCATCTGCCCCTACCGCCCTCACGTAGGCCAAGTGGAGCTAATAGCTTGGGCGGCAGGTCTGAGTAAGCTCATCCATGACCTAGAGTAAGGATGTGAAGGGCTTGCAGAAAGGAACATTGCAGGGTGGAGGCTACATTCTCTCATTGGCATAAAAAAAGGATAATGATCTAGGTAGTAAGAGCAAGAAAAAATTAAAGCCTTTATTGTTCCCAAGGGACAGGTATCCGAGACTGAATAAAGCTGGGTGGGTGAACTGGTTAACTAGGCCAGGTTTTCATTCTTTAGTCTGTTGTAATAGACCCATCTTAATAGTGAAAAGTGGTAGACTGCAGTTATCGCTTTTGAAGATCTGGGGACTGGGGAGATACCTGAGTTCCCAGGAGAGGCTAGGGGTGAGATGACACTGAGTAATGAGGTTAAGCGTACTTAACAGGAAAAGAGGCGGTTTATCAAATGAATGAGAAAGGGATGAGATTTGAGAACTCGTGTCCTATCCCTGTATGCATTCACATAATGGAAGAGTAATCAACTACATGTAAAATAACAGTTTAACATTTTTCTTTTTTTTCTAGTTTAAAGGTATCATTCAACTCGAGAACTGGAAAAACCGAGCTTATATTGTACCATAAAGTTATTTAAAACAATACTGTGGTTACTAAAATGGCAGCTCAAGCTTTTATCACCTCTTTAGAACAGAAGAGCAGAGAGGATGCCATAAAACAGTGAAGAAGCATTCTGTTTTCCAGGTGATACTTCTATTCACTCTTGCATGGGGTTTAGTTTTAATGATACTCACCCACTTAATTCTATTCTCTTGTATAAGAACCCTTCAAATTAGAATAGAGGCAGGAAATTGGTGGTGTGGGCTTCTGGAAGTTTCAATGGACTAAGCATCACTCCATAAGATTCTGTAATGGATGGGATCAATCTGAAAACTTACAAAAAGCCGTATGAAAATCAAACTAAGCAAAGTTGGTTTACTAGTGCATTAGTAAGACTACATGGAAAACTTTGTGGCGTCAAATATAAAACTAAAGTGCATTGCTCCCTTCCCTTCCTTATTCCATGTCATTCCATTTTGTTAAAAAAAAAAAAAAAGAGTGATAGAATGCAGACACTGGGGTCATTTCTCAAAAGCCACAAAATAACAGGTTGCTGTGACTATGAAATACAGAAGATAAACTTGATTTGGGGTTTCTTGTTGAGAACAGGCAGGGCAAACTACAATGACCGTAACTGAGCAGTTGCTGAGTTTTATTACCCAATCATAAAAAGGACCTTTTTAAATGTTTCCATTTAGCACTCTTCAATGACTGTTGTTCCAATCAAGGAGTAAAGCTTTTTCTTAACAAGTCGAAATCCTGGGCTCAGGATCATAGTTCGTCTGAGGTTGGATGAGAAGCGACCTCGACTAAAGAAAAAGTCCCTGAGGCTGGTCCATGAGCAGTTCTCCTGCTTAAATACCAGTGTGAGCTCAAAGGTAGGCACCACACTAGAGTCACACACAATCCTATCCAGCTTTATACATACATTTTCAACTTCCATGTTCACATGCATGACACAACCTCGTAAGCCACAGGGCTCCGTGGAGGAGAGGCGAAGGACATCTTGAGCAATTCTCTGGGTCAGCTTCTCAGGGACAAGGACTTTTGAACAACCCAGTTTGGTTTGCTTTGATTTGGACAGACAGTTCTCTAGCATTTTAACCAAGCTCTGGCAAGTTGTCTCCTCAAATACCACCTCACTGAGGTTGGGTTCAGGAACAACATAATCCCAGTAGTCAAAATCTGTAAAATAGAAGTTTTAAATTGAAAGAAATCCAGGAACAGGAAAAACACATCAAGATAGCAACATTGGTTACATGTATCTACCACATCTACCTGTTTCTATTATTTCTTTGGGAGTCAGTTGATCTCACTTTGCTATTAACTAGTAGGGTAATAGAGTTAGCCATGTGACCTCTCATTTATGAAATAAAGGTTTTGATAAATAGGGTGGATAGGATATAAACATTTTTCTTTAAATTTATGTGTATATACACATAGACACACACAAATTCAAGACTATGTATTGAAAATCTCTATGGTTATCCTAGATTATCAGTGATTTTCTTTCATTTCTTGCTCCCTTACTTGCTTATGAAGATTTTCTATATACATAAAAATATATTTCTATATACATACAGAAAATATACATATATATATTTTTTACTAAGGAACTGTTACCTTCTAACTCTAAGAATATATGAGTTTAGCCCTGAATGGTGCGGCTCAGTGGGTTAGGCATAATTCCACAAGCTGAAAAGTCACCGGTTAAGTTCTCTGTCGGGGCACTTGCCTGGGCTGTGGGCCAGATCCCCAGTTGGGGGCATGAAGGAGGCAACTTACTGATGTTTCTCTTACACATCCATGTTTCCCTCCCTCTCCTTCTCCCTCCTTTCCCCTCTCTCTAGAAAAGTAAATAAATAAAATCTTAAAAAAAAGAATATGAGTTTATTGATGTAAAATACCAAATTTTTGCTACTGTTCTTAAGTGATAAACTTCAATCTGAGAAGCTAATTAAATATCTATGAAATTTGTTTCTTTCTTTAAAAGTCTTTACTGGAATTGGCCTGTAAATTCCAATTTTAGCTTCAACCTCTTTGATTAAAAATTGCTCAAAGAAGACCTTTGAGGTCCACCAGGATATTTATAACTGGCTGGGTAGTTTTCCATGTCCAAGCAAAACAAAATAGTCTTAGGAAAACAAAATTAGATTTGCGCGAAGGAAAAGAGATAGGTCTGCATTTGGTCACCTACCTTCCAAATTAATCCTACCACTTGGCAAGATGCCACACACACAGCCAGCTAAGCAGGGGGCAGGCAGAGGTCCTGCTGGCTCCCGCCCTTAAGCCCGCTCCACCCTCATTGGGTACTGTGGTTTCCTCTCTCCACATCATGTAGTCCCTTAGATCATTTTTTTAAAAAATAATGAAGTAAAGAAAATGCATTCCATATTATAAGGCTCCATATGTTGAAGATAAAGAATTTTAGAGATTTGGCCTATAAAATTAGATCATCAACCGCTTGGCCTTCTAAATGAGGAAGGCCCAAACATCTTCAGCCATTTGTTTATGCCTACACAGCTCCTCAGTGGCAGAGCAAGGTGTTAACTTAGAAACTGCTGTTTAAAATTGTAAATGACAGTATATCCAGCATCACTTCTGTTTTAAAATTTCCCTCTGGCATTAAAAAGAGAATAGTAGGCATATTCTCAAAAAGAATACTACACAGCAATAAAAAGGAAACATAGTGATACATGTTTCACCATGGAGGGATCTCAAAATAATTAAGCTGCAGGAAAGAAACCACCTACAAAAGAGTACCTATTACATGATTCCACTTACATGAAACTCTAGAGACAAAAGTAAACGGCGGGGGTTGGGGGGGCGGGGTGTGGCTGAGCGGGACGGGGGGGGGGGGGAAGAGAGTGCAGAATTGATGGCAAACAGGTACATACGAATTTGGTGGGAGGGGGTCATGGAAATGATTACAAAGATGATTACATTTGTTAAAACACACATAACTGTATATTTAAAATTCACCAAAACTTTACAACCATGTAGGGTAAGGAACTTAACACAGCTTTTCATCCCAAAGAATGTATTAACAGACTAGATTTATACAGCCCTCAGTATTCTATTTTATTTTTTTGCATTTTGGTTTCTCACCATCATGAAGAGAAGATGCTGGAAAGTTTGGAAAGCAGTTTCCTCAGGCGGATTTTCCGGTACCTCCAGTGAGGAAAGGGATGACACCGCACACCCGCCCACCCGATCTGATCTATGGAGGGGCTGCAACATTTGGAGGGAAGAGAGGCGCGCATCTGGGAAACTCACCATTTAGCAGGCTCCGCGGGTGGAAGCCATGGTCCACCAACTCTGAAATGCTGCCAGGGTTCTTACTGCTCAAACTGCCAGTTGCAACCATGGTCAACGGCTCCGTTTCCCTCGCGGGACAGAACGACCTGGGGCGCTGGAAAAAGTGGGCAACAAAAACAGATTTGCAAGAGCTACAAGATGTGTAGAGGATTCTAAAATGTCTCGCGTTCCCAGAGCGAACCAGTGGAGTACTCAGTTTCTAAAGGCAAGAAACCGGTCCCTGCAACTCAAGTTTGCAGTCTCGCGAGCGGAGACGCCGACTACTGCCACGACCTGAAACTCATTGAAAGTTAGCAAAACTTGGAGCGGACTTGCCCTGTGGAGCTCACCCCGATTTCGCAAAGGGTCGGGCAGCGGACGCCCCCGCCTCTATTCACTCCGCATCCAGCCCGCTGACTCTCTCACCTGCCGGGAGTTCGCTGAAGGGTAAAATGAGGCTGGCACTCTGCTCGGAGCCTCCTCCCTCGGAGGCTCTCTGACTTGCAGACCCCACCAGTGATCCGCACCCTGCTCGGCTCCAGTCCACTTGGCACCCTCCGTACAGAACTGCACGGCCTCTGGGGCAGCGAGCACTTTATAGGCCCAGCCTTCTGACTCGCCCGGCCCGCTCCGCCTACCTGCGCCACCCGCCCCCACCCCCTCCGCTGCGCCGCCCCTCCCCTGGTCCGGTTGCATTTCGACCCCAATTCTTCTGGCCACCTTCTGCAAGGTTCTGGGAGTTGAGGATGAGGTTGTTGTACTGTTGATGTCTGCGGTTTCCCGGGTGGGCCATGGGCCACTGTGACCGCCATTCCGGGTGCAGGACTCGCGAAAAACTGACCACTCCCCTTTGCCACCAACTTGGATCCTTTGGTGTGACCCTTCCGCTAGCGCGCGCGCTGCTGGCTCCCTTGCTGAGATTCCGTTCTGTCCCGGGCAGCAGAGGGAGGTTTCTGCCCTTTGTTATTCCTAACGACCTGAGGCTTTTCTGCGTCTTACCCAACACTTTGCTAAACTCTGTTTCTATGTTCAATGAGCATCTTTTGCACTTAGTTCTGGCCTCTATCCAAGTCAGCTCCACCCCGCGTCCCTGGGTTTCGGGGTCCTTCTCTCCTGAACGCAGTCAGATCTAGCTTTCCTTTCCGACACCGAAGGCTCTCCAATTTTAGGGAGAGTCGTCTACCCGCTGCACTCACGGGCTCTCCGCACTCTTCGTACTGTTTCATCTGTGACTAATGTGTTTTCTCCGCGAGAAGGGTGAGCCTGGTACTCTTCTAATTAGACCTGGCCCCGGAGTTCCTGGAGATTGAATGAAGGGGAGTTTGCCAAGAAACTAAACAAAACCACTAGTGGGATCTTAGCTTCCTCTTCCACCAGCCTGGTTGCAGGGAGCAATTGTCATTCCTGGAGGCAGAAGTTCCAGGCGAGCCCAGTCAGGGCGAGGAACTTGGGCTAGGGCGGTCTTCAAGGGGCTTTGGGCAACGAAGATAGTTTTATATCCCCTTAGGGATAATCTTGTGAGGTCTGATACGCAGTTCTGAACAAGAGCGCACAGAGGGACAAAGGAGCCGAGGAAAGAGCCATATGCAAGCAACCAAACATGTTTTCTTCCAAAGTTTCTAAGCCACCCTTGTCCCTCTTTGGTGTGCCAGTAGGAGATGTTCGGTTCCGAGTGGCTGTTCCCAAAGACGGTGGTGGGTCTGGGGAAGGAAAGGGCGGGGATGCCTGGAGGGAAAGACTGTTTCAAGGAGCAGGAAGTTCTAGTGTTGGCTCCCAGTCCTCTAGGATTACTTTGCCACTGGTTACAAGGATCTGCAGGTTTCAGCTGTCCAGGCTAAAAACTCAGTAAGAAAAACAAAAACAGAAGGGGAAAGGAGAGTGTGATAAACAGATCAGTGGGAGGACATTTGGAGGCAGAGCAGCAGAAATTAAAGCCAGCTTGACAGTCCATTTTTAACTCCCCTCAGGCAGCTGTACTGCCTGAAGGTCAGGCAAACCAAGGAAGGAGAGGCTGATAGGCTAGTCTTTGAAAGGAGACTTCCACTTCTATTTCAATAATAGAAAAGTGGAAAATAAAAAAAGCTCATTTAAGCAGATTAAAAAGCAGTTTTTGCTGTTAGTGTGTTCAGGACCAGTGGATATGTGCCCCGGGTCAGATCTCTGATGTCAGCGGCCTGGCAGTGGGAAGAGGGGTGGGCGCATGCAGGCAGAGCCTCCTTTCCTTATGGGGGGGCCGTATTAATGAGACTGCTTCTTACCTGCTTCCAAGCAGAGTTATTAGGATTAATAATTTAGGATTAACGAGTGGTCTGAACATGTACAGTGAAATAAAGAAACTGTCCATTTCAATTTCCCCGGGGTATTTAGGCATAACTCATAAATTAAATACTTCCAAAGGGCCAGAAAGATTATTAGACCTTTAGAAAGTAGCAGTTACTCTCAGCTCATCTAACTAAAATTTTGCAAAGCCCTTGAGGATTTTGCTGAAAAAAATTTTTTTACCTATGTTACAAAAGACTTCAAATAGCATCATTCTTTTTGCCAAATGGGTCTTGCTCTCAGGAATTACAGGGCATAAGAAATGATTGCTGTAGACATATCTGAAATAACTAGTGGGAATTGTCCTTTTTTATCTACTTAAAAGGGTAAAAAAAAAAAAATCCATTCTGTTACCACCAGTTTGTATCTTTGCAGTGTTGTATAAACAGAGCCGATTTTTAAAAAGGAAGCATCCAACAGAATTAGGGAAAACAAAGTGCCATAATAGTGTTGTCATGAGATGACACTTAGACTAGTTTTTTTTTAAGGATGTGGATGCAGTTAGTTGTTTATAACTGAAAGTTCATTACATTGGTGTATTTCAGGTATTTATCAGGTGCGGCAATGAAGTACATTTATTGCTATTTTATTATATCCTTTATAGTTAATACATCAAAAATAGCTCAAAAGGGTGCTTACTTGGAAATAATAGTTGTATATGAAGAGAAAATCTAATTGATTAAATAATTTGTCTTTTATATACCGATATATTATAGCAAAGTACCAAAATCATAAGCATACTTGCTTCTTTCTTACGATTTACTCATTCACCTTTTTTTAAGTGTATTTTATTGATTATGCTGTTACAGTTGTCCCATTTTTTTCTCCCCTTTATCCCTCTCCACCATGAACTCCTCTTCCCTCCAGCATTTCCCCCCTTAGTTCATGTCCGTGGGTTGTACATATCAGTTCTTTGGCTTCTCCATTTCCTATACTATTCTTAACTGCCCCCTGTCTATTTTGTGCCTACCAATTATGCTTCTTATTCCCTGTATCTGTCACCCCCATTCCCCCCTCCCCCTGAACCGATAGCCCTCCATGTGATCTCCATTTCTGTGATTCTGTTCCTCTTCTAGTTGTTTGTATAGTTTTTTTTTATGTTTTTTAGATTCAGTTGTTGATAGTTGTGAATTTGTTGTCTTTTTACTGTTCATAGTTTTGATCTTCTTTTTCTTAGGTAAGTCTCCTTAACATTTTATATAATAAGGGCTTGGTGTTGATGAACTCCTTTAACTTGACCTTATCTGGGAAGCACTTTATCTGCCCTTCTATTCTAAATGTTAGCTTTGCTGGATAGAGTAATCATGAATGTAGGTCCTTGCCTTTCATCACTTTGAATACTTCTTGCCAGCCCCTTCTTGCCTGCATTTCTTTTGAGAAATCAGCTGACAGTCTTATGGGAGCTCCTTTGTAGGTAACTGTCTCCTTTTCTCTTGCTGCTTTTAAGATTCTCTCCTAATCTTTAATCTTAGATAATGTAATTATGATGTGTCTTGGTGTGTTTCTCCTTGGATCCAGCTACTTTGGGACTCTCTTGAGTTTCCTGTACTTGCATGTCTAGTTCCTTCTCCAGATTGGGGAAGTTTTCATTAATTATTTTTTCAAATAAATTACCAGTTTCTTGTTCTTCCTCTTCCCTTCTGGCACCCCTATGATTCACAGGTTGGAATGTTTAAAATTGTCCCAGAAGTTCCTAATCTTCTCCTCATTTTTTTTTTTTTTTTTTGAATTCTTGTTTCTTCATTCTGTTTAGGTGAATGTTTATTTCTTCCTTCTGTTCCAAATCATTGATTTGAGTCCCAATATCCTTCCCTTCACTGTTGGTTCCCTGTTTATTTTTCTTTATTTCACTTTCCATAACCTTCACTTCTTCCTCTATTTTGCAATTGCACTCAATCATTCTTGTGAGCACCCTGATTACCAGTGTTTTGCACTCTGCATCTGATAAGTTGGCTATATCCTCATTGCTTAGTTCTCTTTCTGGAGTTTTGACCTGTTCTTTAACTTGTGCCATGTTTCTTTGTCTTGGGGCACCTGTTAATTTGTAAGGGGCAGAGCGTTAGGTATTCTCCAGGTCGGGACAACCCACTTCGTTACGTTTTGGTGCTCTGCGTAGGGGAGGGGTCAGAGAGGGAACAAGGCTGCTTGCTTGGCTCTGGCCCTGCTTTCTGTCACTTTCCTGGCTTCCCACAAGTAGATTGTGCCCTTTCAGGTACTGATTCCCAGGTGAGTGGGTTTGTGAACATTCTAGGATCATGTGGGCGCCTCCAAGGGACCCTCCTGTGAGGCTGGAAGTTTCTCCTGCTGCCAAAACCCCCACAAGTTTTTACAGCCCTGGTTTGCAGTCTGTCTTGCTCCCCAGTTGTTCCTCCCGGCTTTTCTGCATGTGAATGTGGGACCACGTGGTCCACTAACTGTCATCTCACCTGCCCCAGTGTGCCAGCCTCCACTTTGTTGCATGTCCTTGCCACCCTGGCTTCCCATCTCCGCCCTTCTTACCAGTCTGGATGAATGTTTCTTTAACCCCTTGGTTGTCGGACTTCCACACAGTTTGATTTTCTGGCAGTTCTGGTTGTTGTTTGTTTTTAAATTTGTTGTTATCCTTTTTGGTTGTGTGAGGAAGCAAAGTGTATCTATCTATGCCTCCATCTTGGCCAGAAGTCCCATCTTCCTACAAAAAAAACCCCAAAACAGTAGCAAATGAGAACAGTATGTTCATCTGATATATATACAAATATTTAAGTTCCAGGTTCCCTCATGTATAAATATAATATTTATATACAATTAATATAATATTTATAATACTATTGCTTACATCAAATATAAATTCAGAATCAAAGATATTTCAAAAAACAAAAAAATGGTACTTTAATGTATTATTATAGGAAATACTGGTGTCTTGTGTATTCATGATTTGGAATATTGAATGTTTATTACATGTTTTACCAGCCAATTTTCTCTCTTTACCTAGCATGAGCCATTTAATGAATTGTTTATTTCATTTCATAAACTATGACATCAAAAGAAAAATGACTTTCTTAATCTATACAGTGGATTTAGGTAGGATTTACAGGACATGAAAGTTGATTTGTACAACATCTAAAGAAACTTAGCAAGCTCATAAGGTTGTTGTGAGGATTAAAATATATTCTAATCGATTCCAAATATCTTTTTTAATAAACAAATCTGAACTCTTTAAATGTATATTGCCCCTGGCTTTCTTTGGTTGTACTAAATTTGTAAATC